AAAAATAAACTAGATCTGATACGAATTGATTGACTGCCACACAATATATTCCCATAAGCTACATCGAATGCTACCATACTTAGCAATAAATCTGAATTTTAAAGTGTGGCTGAACGGTGAAAAATGGAAATGAAAAAACTTCAACGACTCTAGCAAAAAGTATTTTTTAAGTTAATATTCAAAATTATTGGTAATAATAAATATTCTTTCATTTGCTTTGGAAATCCAGAAAAAGTGCACGAAATTTGAACTTTAAGTAAAACATAAACTTCACATTTGCCCATTTAAAATGCCTTAACTTCATGAAAAATTTTGGAAATCGCATGACTCACATATTTTTTTAAAGCTTTTATAACGAACTTTCAAATGAATTTAAAAGAAGAGGAATTATCCCAAAATCCGAAGAAAAATAAAGCGTTTGTGACTGCATCATTTACGTATGGAATTTTCAATAGGTAAAGTGAGGGAATAATGACGTTACCCGCTGGTATAAGCAGCAAGAAGCCAATTCATGAGCAATGCAGTGATTGAATCAACTTTACACTGTTGTGACACAGGTACTCGCTTATTAAGAGCGTGAAATAGGGAAGACAGTAAAGTTTCAAGTCGCGATACGCCGAGTGTACTAGACGGCTCCAGTGTGTTGAGACCATTTTCCCTGAAAGCCTCGATCACGTTCCATATGTCAACGTTGTGCACTAAAATCATAATTTATATTATTAACATCGAATTATCAATTGAGTCAATTATTTTTCAAGTGTTTTACTCCGTGCACTTACGGTGAACTTTTTTCTGTATAAATCGCAGTTTGCACGCAGTTCTGTAGGATGCAAATCTGATGCTATCAAAATTTTGCTGACGCATCTCTTGGAGTAACTGGAGCCTGCTAGCTTCACCACTGCTGGTGCTGCCTGAACTGGCAGCTCTATCCTCCGCCATTTCTATTTACTGAAAGGAAACCATCAGGAACATTTGTGAAAATTTTTCCCAGGTATTTTCGCAAGATGCTGATCGTTAGTTCATTCGAGAACTAGATTTATAGAATCATTTGTGATTGCCAATGTCTTTTTAACTTCGATTTCCTATTAAGACATATCGATGAGATTTCCTTGCAAAAAATTTCACAAGCATCGAGATTTTCTTGATATTTTCTCCCAAATTCCATTCACTTCACAAGCATTCGGTATTCCTTGAGCTCCTCTTCTCACGCATAAAGAATGTCAATTTCTAAAAGCCAACCCAAGTTTTTCCTCCTAGTCTCGAGCTGAACTTCTGAATTCACTCAAAACTCTACGACTTCGTAAAACTGGAGTACCTCCTTAATTATAATTTCAAGCTTCAGGTAAAACTGGAGCTCTCAATCCACTATTTTCTTCTCAAAGATAAAATCTCGAGGGTCTGAGATAAGAGGCTGAGCCCAAGGGTGTTGTTTACACACGTAAACAGGAGATATTTTCCGGTAAAAACGATGTAGATATTAATATTGAGAGATGAATCGCTCCTGATTATCTTATGAAATTCGAGGATTAAGGTGTTATTGCCAATATCTTATCACTTTCCATGTTTTTTGTCGGGTTATGGAAAACTTTTTTTCGTTTTTATCATTATTCAATGCTTCACCAATTTTCATAGTAATTCATCTATTTTTCTAAATATTTGGTAAAGTTTTGTGACTTTTTGCAAAAGTTCACTGAGGACACGTGAAAATTGTTCAACGGTGAAACTTCACGCGAAATTCAATACTAATCAAAGTTTTTCAATAATCTTAAAAGAATAATATTTTTTCATGTCAATTTTATCAACCGTTTCTCAGAAATTCAGAAAAAAAACATGAAAAATGAGAAAACATCGGCAATAACTCCTTAAGGCGGACAATCTGATGTTTGAATGTTTGAGATTTCATAACAGTTGGGGAATCTTCAAGAGGGACATAGAGAAATGAAGCGTAACGTTTTCTTCCTGGAGATATTCTAGGGAAACCCTGCAAATTCAATTTATTTTTAATTTTATTTAATTTTTAATAGTCAATGCATTATCCAACGCACTCTACGGTCTGGTAGCTCTGATAATAACCGTAATACATCTCTCCACTGTCAATCTACATATCTCTACTGCCTCCCGACATTCAACGGCACACTCAGTCACTCGTACCTAATAAATCCTCCTGGATAAATTATGTACTGAATTTTTTTTTCTCTGTACTCAACAGTGGAATTACCGTAACACGTTTCATCGCGTGATAGTGCGGTGTAATGCGCAGACACTGTATTGCTTGTTTCGTGATACGAGGGCGTTGAGCTTAAACAGCGTGAAACAGACGTTGATCTACATTTTCCATTTTTTTTAACGAATTTTGGTATTGAATTATCATTTTTCCGCTGAAAACAGACGGTCTTTGTTTTATTTCCACTGTATGGTTTTACACCTTTTACAGAAGAAAAGAGAAGGTTTGACTCAATAAAAAGGCGCATGCAAAAACAAAAAGTGAAGTATAATGTAGGTAGAGAATTTGTCTGAAAAACTTAATTAATTCACCATTAAATTTAAAAAACTACATTATCTTTGTGAGGTTCGTACCAGTTGCATCTCCATTGCGAGTCCTCGGTAATAGTATGTTAAGAAATAAAAGTTTTTTGAGAAGTGCGTCTTTACTTGCATGAAGATACTCATACTCAAAGATTTAAAAAAAAAAGAAAACCATATTCTGCACAGAGAAAAAAGCTTTAATCGAAAAATGAAAGCACATCATGAATTAAGTAGTTTTTTAATTGAAATATTTTGGATTTGAGATAGAGAAACTTGTGAGTAAATTCGGCCGGCTAGACATGGTTTGAGGAATCACATTTTTATTATGAATAATTTGTCATTATCTTTGGAATACGCGCATAGTAAATTCGGCCGGCTAGACTTGATTTGAGGAATCACATTTTTATTATGAACAAATTGTCATCATCTTTTGAATACGCGGATAATTTCTTAATAGAAGTTTTTCTTTTCTTACAGTAGGTAAGACATGATCTTCTTGTCAATTCTCCAGTATATGTTTGTTGATACAAGTAAAGCCGCAATATTTCAAGAACTTTTTTTGTCTCAGTGTACGGACTGATGGGATTTGTAGTACCTGATCACACGCTGATGTGAATGTAACCGAATTTATATGAATTATAAAAATCATATACCTTCAGAGGCGAAGGGAAGGAAAAGTATGTACATCTACTTGTGTTAAAATACTTGATTACCTCTCATCGAATATTCCAAAGTGAAAGAGACTTTCTCAATATGAGGAAAAATCTGCTAATAAAGAAGAAGTTACTAGATTCAAGAAAACTTTTTTCTATAGATCCAAGAAAATTTTTTCTATAGATTCACAAAAAATCTGTCGAATTTTTTGCACATGTTTTTTCTATTTTTTAACTCAATTTTAATTATTATTATTTAAGTATATTATTTTATTTTATTATTTAAATAAAAATTGATAGAAACAAAAATTTTAAACTTGTTCCTTGGATTAGAAAAGGCTAGATTATGAACATTCACTATTTTTTCTAATATATGGAGAAACTATAAATCTAAAAATTTGTTAAATTTAGCTGAGAACGTCACAAAATTTTTGTTGGCTTTCGGGGATTCCCCGGGTATAAAATTCATACTTTCCAAGTTTTATTCCTCTCATTTACGTGAGGATAGTTTATTACCCCGTTATTTTGGAATTTTCCCTGGTTGTAAAGGCCAAAAATGTCCACAGCCCTTCGTTAGGTTTTATAATACTTGAATATTTCTCAAACTACATCTGCTGACCAGAAATTGTAAGAAATGAAAGAGGAAAATATTTCAAGGAGTTGAAATGATATTGCCCTCTCCTTGGGCCTTACTAGCATCCCCCCTTAGTCTCTTGGCAATTTTCTTTCTGTACATTTTCCAGTGTTAACATTTAACTAATTTTAATTGAAGTATCTCGAAGATTTGTCGCTGCAAAGGTCTTGGAGACACCTCAATTAAAATTATTTCAAAGTTTCCGAACGTTTTCCCCATTTTAATAAAATACAATATCTCTTTTCATCGTCTATGCCCTGAAAATCATTATAATCCATCATAAACAATAATAATTCCAAATGAATGGACGACAGAATTCATTGCACCAATAGTTCACAAGATGCACCAATTCCTCAAAACAAATTTTCGAAATCATCTACGAATTCGACATTTAACTGCTCCGCTCACAAAATAAGAATCTTTCCACAACCACTTTTCCTTTCTTCCCCTCATCCACCCCAAATAACTACCTTCACAATTTATTGAATTACGTAAGCCCCCGTACGTCGACCTACTTTTAGATTCTAATTGATCCTTGAATGTACGAGGAGGAAATACGCGAATGAAAAGAGCGACGTACGAGTTTGAATTCGAAGGCCAACGCGGGGGCTTCAATCGGTTTTTCATTGAACCGTGTACAACTCTACCTATTCAATCGATCTGTTGCCACATGAATGAATTGTAACTGTGCAGGAGGAAAAAATCCCTTACCATTTTTTCCCTCAACATTGTCCCTTTTTTGGTCTCATTGTTTCGCTGAACCACACTATTGTCACCTGTGGTGGGCTAAACTGCATTGTTTTCGAAATCTGGGCTTCTCACACCCGAGAATTTGTCCCAGTGCCAAGTTGGCAGACATCCAGATTCATCGAGGGGAATTCATTCCGAATTTTATGTAAGAAATTAATAAACTCTGCCACTTCGCTACTGTCTCCATTTACAAACGGAAGCTCTGTATTTGGTCAAATATACGTTTCCAATTTTATGGAGATTGTTTGACTTTCCGGTAAGTCCCCTTCTTCTGCTCAAACAATCTCAAAGGTTAAACAACAGAGAGATGAAAATATTGCGAAGGAATTTCCCATTCTCACTTAACCCTTACGATAGTTATAGCTGTCTCTGTCGATTGACCTTGAACACTATCTGACCTATCTGATGGGTTTACACGTTCCTCTTATGTGACCTTGAACGTCTCACTCAGAGATTGTAAGAGAACAAACGAAATATCAAATTAAATTGATCCAATGAAGTATCAAATTAAATCAAAAGTACAACAAAAAGCGTTTGACCCTCAGATAACTCCGCCCACCTCTCCCATATGACCCCCCTCCCCCCTCTCTTCACGTAACAGAAAAAAAAACATTCGTGAATTCCACGAGGTATTTATTGTTTCCCCTCGGCAAATCCATGATATCCCCATAATTTAAAAAATGACTTCATCCATTCCTCCCATTTCGAGAACGAGAACTGTCATTAAAAAAAATTTCCCTGCAATCAGTAATTTTCTGCCCCTGTTTTCTCCATATAATAAAGATCCACGCGGTGTAAATATCGATTAGCCGGTGTCGAGTGCATGTATGTATGATAACCCGCACTTGAAAAGGAGGGATGGAGAGAGGGAGGGGAGGGAGGGGGGGGGGGGGGCAATGGAACCGACGTAAAAGAGGGTAAAGTGCCTAGAGGTGATAGCGTGGCACCGCTCAACCCATAAACACAGTCTCCTCTAAAGTCCCTCCTCTCCTACTCCTATTTTAATACCGAGACCTGCATTTCTTTGATCAAGATTGTTCTCGAATAAAACGCTCAAACGTGTTGGGGAGCACGAGAGGAAGAAAATTGAAACCGGAAAATATGAGTTGTGGGAGTAAAGGGGGCAAAGGGTTAAAGGAGTGGGTGAATTTTGAGAGATGGAGATGAAAGGGGCCTGTGTGCCCACGTGTAGTACAGAGGAGGGGATTGGGGATTTTTTTGGATTGTTTTTTTTTTGGATTGGGATTTTTGAAAAAATTGAATGAGTGTAACGAAGGTGGAGGAATCCGCGCCGGGTTGAATCAATACAATAAGTGGGCCAGGTGGGGGGCGGGTAAGACGTCCAGTGGGGGGAATTTTAGTCTACGGAGTGGAACGCCGGGAACGGGGAACTGGACTGGGAAAAGGCGCGGTCAATTTTTGACTCGAAGCTCTCACATGAATTTGTTATATTTCACGTACGCAAAATGGTACATGTGACAGAGTGTGTCAATTATACGCACATATATTTTCCCCGTGAGATGGAGATATTTGGGAATATATTAAATTGATCCAATCTATTTGAATAATATGGAGACTTGGTATTTTGTGTATTGAAAAAAAATAGGATGAATTAACAATCTGCAGGTGATTTCTTTCTGTTAAAGGGCGCGATCAATTCTCGAGTTAAAATTCCTCTAGCGAATGTTGGGATTTCGAAAATCCACGTGGAAAATTGTATATATGTGAAATATATATCAAATATTATAAATTCCGATAATAATTTCGTAATAAAAAATATCTCAGATGAGTGAAATAGTATGTTGGCAATCATTAATGATTTTTTACCGAAAGAGGAATAATTGTTGAATTTATTTCTCGAGAATTACTCTTTTGGTAAATAATTACATTCTATATCCTTGAAAATTGTGAAATTGACAGGAAATATTCATCGTTCAACACTTAGTTTAAATTGAGTAATTACCGAATTTTTCTCCAAACTATTTTATTTTATTTTATTTTATTCCGTGCAAATTTTCTCCACGCAAACCGGAAATTGGAGAATAACATGATCATCTGTTTTTGTAGCCATTTACTAATTACCAAGTCCGTTAGTTAAGTTAGCACATCGCTAATGACTGAAAAACCTCTCGTGCAATTGTCGATGCGAGTTAATTCGATTAGACCGAGGGAAATAGCTTCCTGTACCATGTGTACAGGCTTGAAATAAATAAACATTAACTGATACTGCCAGAATACTCTTGAATTATTTTCCTCGTTATGCCGCATAATTACTCTACGATGCGTGAATTTCAGTCGTGTGAGAGTGAGTGCAGTGGGAGAACTAATGAATATATTAAGTTCAATGACGGCTGAGATTCATTCTATCAATACTATAACAATTGGTTAATTTAAATAATATAGCAAACAAATTCTAATTGATATTCACTCCAGCGGAGAATTTCACTACTTGAGTGTTTAATGAGAATTTAAATACCAGACTGAGATAGAAATTCAGAGAAAGTTTTTAATGAGTTTAATATGACAGTGTTGATGAATGCAGTGATTATAAAATTTTTTCAGCTGAAGAAGTTTACAGCAAAAGTACATTTCTAGATATATAAGCGAAAATTGGTTATGAACTGGATTTTTTTACGCACAGGAAATTAATTGATAGACATATGGAGGGAATTTTCTTGACAATTATATTGATTTTATGGAACTTTTCAACATTCTATTCTTTGGCTGATTCTCCTGAGCACTTCAATAGGAAATTGTTTGTAAAGCCAATAGAATTTTTACGATTTGCTGATTTTCTTCTACAAATTATTCTGTTGACGTATTATATTCAGAATTTTTCTGGGGAGTTTTCTCAAAACAACATTTTCTGCGGTTTTTTGTTTTCATTTTGTTTTTATTTTGTTTTCATTTCGGTTTATCGGGAAAATTGCACACAAAAAGAACTGAAAATCTGGAATGATAATAGAAATTTCGGTAGAAATGCAACAAAATTTTTATATAACTTCCCTACATTTGTCAACTAAATTCATTCCTTTTTTAATTAAAAATCGATGCTCGATTTTATTACGTCTTCATTATCTTGCTATTTACGACGCAAAACTTATAAAAAATAATAACCATGTCAAATAAATAATCTTCAAGTCACCAATTCCAAATAAAATCATAATTTTAATTCTTGTCTTTGTGAAACAAATCAGTTCAGCATTTGTAAGTTAAATTATGAAAAATAATTTTTTCCTCGACGTCAAGAAATATATCTATATATTTTTCCCGAAGAAGAATAATAATTGGGGACTCGTTAAGATTCTCGCGTCTCGATGAGAATAGATTTTCAATTAATTCCGTCATTTTCGTGATTATCTTGGCGATGACAGAAGTATTTTCCTTAATCTACAAGAATGTACCAGCTGAAGTTTCAACATAATTCTCTCCGGGATAAAAAAATATTAAACGGCAAAACAAGTTTAAATAGGAAACAATTAAACTCCAATTTCCCATTCATTCTTCCTCGAACAAAAACTCGAGTAAAAGAACAAACTAGACTAAATGAATGAACACTTTGAGAACGCAGGAATCCGGAAATAATTCTCCCGTTTTTTTTTCCATCACTCTTTCTCCTCCCATTCGACATAATTCGCAGTGACATCACGTATTAATGAGCACTGATTCATGAAGGTGATAATGAATTTTTCCTCACATCATAGGAATAAATAAATAAAAAAAAAAGTAACACGTTGAAAACAGTGAAACGCAGATTGTGAGATTCTAGAAATGATTCTCCTGGCCCTCAGATGAATTGTTGAGTGAAAGTATTTTTCGTCGGTTATTGACCTTTTCCTAGACAAATTGACAATACGCACTTTGACCCCAGTGTATTTTTGGCGAAACTAGAGAGTAAAATTCTCAAGAGCTGTCAACTTTGCCCGGAAAAACTAGCGGCTGATTTTTGACTCCACTACAACTTCTTGTTTTTCTCAATGAAAATTCACACTTGGATGGATATTGATTTGATATTATTGTGACACATTAATCTGTACCTTTTGTGATGATCCTTGAATTGAATGGTTGAATTGATTAATGAATATTCACGATAAATAAGGCAATGGGAGCTTCGGTGTGTCGCGCATCTTTGGCCCCGCGGCAGCCATCACTGGAGGTTTCTGTTCCAACTGTTCGGAGTGTTCAACATGTTCAACTCCAGCAGCTTTTACGCGCAGTCGTCGATAGATCGGGGAATGGAAGAAATTAAACCGAACGTTTAAACCGCATAGACGTACTCGATAAACTCCTGGCATTCCACCATTTTTCACTTTTTTTTTTTTACAAATCTTCACTCCATCTCTGAATTACAAATTACAGTAAACAAATTAAAAACGAATACAAATTTTCTAGCGAAGCGGTTAAAATGGGGTAGCTTAGCTTGTTCTGGGGGATGGAGATGTTCTGCCCCTTTTCAGCCAAAATTATCGGTTTTTTTTTTCAGTTTTATCACAAATTTTTGATCGGGTTGACCCGAAAAAATATAAATAATTTACACGTTAATAATTCATCATTATTTCGTGCTTCATGAAGTTTCGTGAATGAGCAATAATTTTCTTGTGATTTTTATAAACTATACTCATTTTCTCAATGTTAAATGACATGACGTTTTCGAAGGCATTGAACAATTATAAAATGCGAAAAACTATGTATATTTTTTCCCGTCAATCCAGGAAACAATTTGTGAGAAAGCTTGTTAGCTTAAACCGGAAATTATGGGAAAGGGGGCCGAATATCCCTAATAATACAATATAATCTTTTTGCGTTTTGTAATTCTTCAATGACTCACGAAATTTCAAGGTGGTACTCGTATTTTCCTTCGAGTTTTCTAAACTTATTTAATCAGAATCACAAATTTGGGAAGAAAACGCATGAAAATGATCGCACAACGTCATTACATAATGTGATTATATAATAACAAATCGCAAAGCCGATATTTTCTTATGTCAGTCCCATTGATAATCTCGGAACGGTTTTAAAAAATGTGAATTGTGACTAGAATGTGTGAAACATCATGAACTCTTTCGTGGGCATTTGGGAAATATCTGGAAAACAAAGGGAAGTCGTGAAATTGTTGTCAACGGTTTGTGTAAGCTTTTTGGAAAATTCGCAAAAGTTTTGAAAAAATGTGGAATAATTACTGTATGGTAATGAGACTTCATGAGTCATTCAATCAGGAATTTAATAATTTAATCACTTCTAGGAAAGTGTTGATCAGATCGACTGATTCTCATTCCTCTTGACAATTTAAGAGAAAATTGGATTTTTCATGAATGATTATAGATTTTTCAATGAAAGCTGTAATTTTCAGACTGATCCGAAAAACTGAACACCAACTAAAATTCAGTTTTATAATAGATTGAAAATTTAAGGACGCATTATTGTTTGAGGCCGAGAAAATATTTATTTTTCTAAATAATTCACTAAATCATGGATTCATTTATTTAAATTTATGCCCGTAGCTTGACAACTGTTATTCATTACTGACAAACTTTTTCAACAAAAATCCCCAACTTTCACCTTTCGAGTTTTTCTTCAAATGGAGTTTTCAAATTGGGATATTAAATTCATCAAATAAAAATCCGTTTTAAGTTTCATTTTGTCGAAGCAATTTTATTTATTTACCATCCACACTTCATTAATCCTTTCCTACATTGATTTTTCAATTTTAGCCTTTCTCCTCAGTCGGTAGATATTGCATGTAGTTTCCGATGGGATAATTGCACGGTTCGCACGATCCGGGAGTACCTGGGAAGCCAATTTTCCCCGGTACACCTGAAACAACGCATTGACTTCACATTCCACAACATCAAAAAAAAAGAAATGTAAAAGCGTGATTGGAAAATTAAAAAAAAATGATAAAAGAACATTTTTCACCCGATCTGGATTTTTACCTGGACGTCCAGATTTTCCTCTCTCGCCTGGATGTCCTGGAGGCCCGTCTTCCCCTTGGGGTCCTGGAACAATGAACGGATTAAAATAACTCCCTAACTTCTATTGTGCTGGCATAAGTTTTCAAGCCTCTCGGCATCCGTGAAAATAGTAATAGACTTTCGCAGCTGTAATCTGTAATCCATTTCATAATTCAGCGGCGAGTCATATCTATTTTTCTCCTCTGATTTGAATAATATTAGATTCTGCGAAAAAAGTGAGATCCATGAATATTTTAATGTCTGAAAATTCACCTGGGAGGCCTCTGGGTCCCGGTGGTCCCTCGATTCTCAGCCCTTCTTCCCCTTTTTCCCCTTTATCTCCCTTTTCCCCGGAAACTCCAGGAATCCCTGGTAGCCCTGGAGGTCCAGGTAAACCGTTAAAACCTCCCTCACCAGGAGAACCTTGTTTACCTACAATAAATTCATTATTTTCAAGTATCATCGATGGATAAGACCGTCAATCGATAAAACAGATCGGCTGTGGAATATTTACCTGGAGGGCCGGGTAGGCCAGGCGTTCCGGGAAGCCCGTATTTCGAGAAACTCGGCTCTGGCATGAATCCATGGATTTCTTCTAAAAATCGAAGCAACGAAATCATTTAAGGATGTTCCGACGAGGATTAAGTACAGGAAATGACGCGGGAGAGAATCTATTATTTTTCTGCAGGAAACTAATTATTAACCGACAAATTGTCGTCTATTCCAGACAGAGAAAAATATACAACAAAATTGAAGTATCTTTTTCGGAATTCCGAAGCCGAAGATGGTTATAAAGGCCAATTTCTGAAACGATTGCGCAATTTTTTTGGAGATTTCTATAATTTCTATTTGAATTTTCTATGAAAAATTAAGATACCGACACGTAAATTTTCTTAGTCCATTCCTAATCGGTGAGCGAACTGAAATTCCATAATTTTTATCGAATATTTGTTTCCGTGCAGGCACTGCCCATGCGCTAAAGCCCGATTTTTTTGTGGTTTATGATGCCTCATAAACAATGCTCGCGGTCCACTAGATTTTTTGTTCAAATATTATTTATTGGATATTCCATCTGAGCTAGATTTTTTCATTTATTTTCCCCCATCTTTCATCTTTTTATCAAAATTTTTGGGTAGTTCCCATAAGAATACGGGTTAAAAGACATATTTACAAAATATAACAAGGTATTCCTGCTCGTCATGCGTCTTGAATTTCAGACGCTGTTTGCAACAGTTTAAAGATTTTCGGAGACAAAAAATTAAGAATTGACAACATTTTTCTCTAAACCTTCCACCACTCCCGATTATCCTTGAAGGCACCACTCATTGAATAAACTCATCAAAAAGTAATGCGAAGAGGCAATTCAATCGGAAAAATAAAGCTGTAGAATAAATTGGTGCATCAAAAAAAAGACACGGGAAAAAACTTCTGATAGCATTCATTTTAACAGTTAGTAATTGTATAGGAAAGTAGAAATTGCATAATGCGGGGGGTAAATTACCATTTCTCACATAAATTTCACTCAACGTTATGTAATTTTCGGGTATGAATGGCTGAATTGCGACTATGCGATACGATACTAAGCGTTAGGGTGAATTTCATTACGAACTCCTTTTCGTCGATTTGTCCTCAAATATATTAGAGAATTTTTAGTATGCGAGTTTGGTAAAAAGTACGTCAATACTGCGTATTTTTAAGGAGTAAAAATATTATCTTAGACACATTATTAGGAAATTACTTGAATTCTCCCAAAGTTCGAATCTATTAAAAATTGATTTGTTTTTAATCTCATTCAATCACAAAAATCAATAATCGCTCATGAAAATAGTATTTTTCACGCCTAGGACGGAAAAAGGGAATCTGACGAATGCGACTTTATAGGTAGGGGCGGAGACGAGGATTATAACGCGCATGAGTCAGAATCACTTTTTTCGCCGTGGCTATGATGCTATTTTATGTCATTGTGGCCGAAAACGCGTTTTTATCGGAGCGAAGCGAGGTTAGAAACGCGTTTTCCCGGCCGCAATGACATAAACAAAATTTTCTTGAGTTTTCAAGATGAATTAGAATTCCGTTTTTCACTGAAACTGAATTCGGACTTCAAAAATTGAAAATTTAAATGACATGGTAACTAAAATTTGATGAAATTTCTGAGAATTTACTAGATCATTCATAATTTGCATTGCATCTTCATTTTCACTTCCGAATTACAAAATAATAATTACTTTTACGTGACTTGTATCGAGTGTTTTTGTCACCTTAAAATTCCTCAATAAATTCCCCAAGATCTTCATAACAAACCTCTTAGCACTTGTCTGCAAACGCTACGAATCTCTTCTTCACTGATGACGCCTCCATTTCCAGGAAATCCCGGCTCTCCCGGCATTCCAGGAAGTCCTGGAGGACCTTGAATTCCTGGTTCACCCCTCAAACCCGGCGGCCCCTGTTTATTAAATGATAAAACCCCGACACTTAAGTTTTCCAAAAGTTCCAAACTCCTAAATCGATATATCGATTCGAGCAAGAAATAGTATAATAGAATACATAAATTACCCGTAACCCACTGTCGCCTTTTGTACCTGGATATCCGTCCGTTCCAGGAAGGCCTGGTTCTCCTTTTTGTCCTATCCTCCCTGGAATACCTGATACTAACCCCGGAATACCTGAAAAGATTTATTCGGTTTTATATAACTAAGACGACGAAAACCATTTTTCCATGTTTTGCTTTAAACTTTCACGTCAACCGGAATTCCTGGAATTTCATAGGGAAATACATCTGCTCACCATCTGAAAAAAATGCAGCTGCGCAACATCTGAAAAATTGTCACCTCTGTCTCTTTCATAAATTCTGACTGCATGCTTTGTATAAGATAGTTTACATTTTACTTCACTTTCACTTTTTCTAAATTCGCTCAGAGATGATGTCCGCTCTTCATATTATAGCTAACGACGGTAATAAGAGCAGAAAATTCTCAGAATCGACGTACCCCACCAAGCGGCGAGTAACTAGAAGAAAAACATCTGTTGACGTTTTGACTAGAGGCCGGGTTGAGATTTTTTTTCTCTGATGTTGTTGTTATTGGTTTTGTTCTACCCGGCGTGGGGAGTACTTATGACTACAGTTGGTTCTAGGCTCGAAGGGATAAATCCCACCGATAGTTTATTGGTATTTAAATATGAGATTTTATTACTTCAACTATATTGTGAGGTATCTGGTCATGGAGGTGTAAAAAGCCTAAGGGCTATACCTCTTGCAACTCATAAATAAATACTTCAACTATATTATCTGACTGATTACAATGATTCCGACTAACACACGTCGGAGCCCGATTTGGATCTGACTTCGGCATACCCAAACGGCCTCTTAAATGCATAATTGTTTATAAGCCATCACATGATTAGCATAATCCAGTTACGCTGGCAAGTGTCACGCTGACAATGCTGTATGTCTACATATTCAACAATAACGTAATTGACCAAAATCTGGAAAATAACACTTTGCCTGCAAATGGAAGTCTTGTGATCGATCATTTCTTCCATTTTGGAATTTTGCCTGAAAATAATATAGAATACTATGAAATGTGGAAATACAAAGTTCAATTGAATGCGTGTGTATGTCTGTATGCGTGTGTATGTCTGTATGCGTGTGCGGTTTTTTTATTTTCAGATAAAAAAAACTATAAAACGGATTAAAGTTCGAGCTGAAAAACTTAAATTTCGTGGGAGAAGGGGTATTATTGTGGAGCACATTTGGGCAAAACTTCAGATCAATCGGTCAAGTATTTCTCGAGATATATTAATTTGCCGAAAACCGTTTTTTCCAGTATTTCAAGAACTAGTTTTCTGATGTTTTGAATAATCCACCAACCCAAAGGCATAATCGCTCTCCATAATTTTCTAATCGAAATGAGTAAGCAAATAGTTTAATTGAACCTTTACTACTGCGCCAAAAATTCTCTGTAAATCAATCAACAGATCAACTTATTACAGGTGAATTGTTGTAATAGCCTTTGAGACATACTGTTTGATTGTAATTATAAAATTATTAATTGCTTTGCATATTACATTGTTGTAATCCTCTACATATTATGGCACTATTAATGGCACCATCTTATTATAGCATAGTTCGTTATGGCTCGTTTTATTACAGAAAAATTAAATTACACCACATTTTATCACAGCAAAATTCGTCAGTCCATAATTACGAGAAGAACAACAGCATTAACTCAACCAGAAATTACATACTCACAATTACAAACAGACGAAACAAAAACATGCAACTCAAATTCACAGATGGACGTGCAGCGATGAACGAAGTAGACTAACACCAAAGTCAATATGTTGATTTTCCCTATGGAAAACTTTGAACACACTCAAATAAATTCTATCCCAGGGGTTACATCTGAATGTGATCAAAATAGAAATATTAGAAACGTTGTAATTAGTTAGTTAAGTGATAAGTAATGCTGTATAGTCTCTATGATAAATAATGCTTTGATAAATTGTTCATGTAATAAGTTTTTGTTATAAAATGTAACGCAATAACACCTGATCGTAATAAGTAGAGGTGATCCAAACAATGAATAGACTGATGCTGTTGTAGATGGAGATTAACACATCCTTTTAAAATTATTAATGAAAAATTAATTTCATTGCTAATTACAAATGGGGCGAATAAAACTGAATAAAACCCATCGATTTCACAATTCTCTGCACGGCTTCATCCCTGGAATGTGATGACGGTTCAACATTTTGTCGAATCGGCAAGTCGTTCAATGCACCCATGCGTTGACTGCACTCGAACTCGTCCCCTTCCGTTTTCCAAAATTAATGATTAGTCTCGTCCTAGCTTTAACAAGGGACACACAAAAGGGGGAATTGCTAGGGATGACTAATTACTTGGTACGTGATTCCGGAATCAGTGAGATTTCACCTGCCCAGCGTTGATCAGTAATCCGAATAATTTGGAACCAATATTCATCACAATTACGCACATCATCGTAGTGATCAATCCGTCATCAATCAATCCGATTCATGAGTTGCAAAATTACTCGATTCTCGTGAACAACGAATACTGAAGGTGTTCTATTCAACGAGTCCATCAATTGACTATTAGATTAAACATTGAATTCAAACTAACGGATGAATGTGGGTGTGCTGGGTGAGATTAATTGTAAAGATTGGAAGTACGTAAGTTCCATTTTTTTATCTTGGCCATTGTTCTCATCTATTGGAATTGACGGTTAATAACACCTACCATTTACGTAAGTTATCTATCTTATGGACTACTTTCCTGATCTGGAAGACTGATAGGTAAGTACAGATGTGCAAAACACTTTAAAGTAGATATGTAGCCATTGAATAATAGTATTTTTCACGCCTAGGACGGAAAAAGGGAATCTGACGAATGTGACTTTATAGTCCGAGTCGGAGACGAGGATTATAACGCGCATGAGTCAGAATCACTTTTTTCGCCGTGGCTATGATACTATTTTATGTCATTGTGGCCGAAAACGCATTTTTATCCGAGCAAAACGAGGTTAGAAACGCGTTTTACCGGCCGCAATGACATAAAAATAGTTTTGTCACTCAGTCCGTAAAGCAATGCTTTACGACCACTGCGGATTCTGATAAAATACGTTCCCAAAATACCTTTCAGTCTTTCTAGCATAAATGACTATTCTGGTTACTAGGTCGAATTGAATCGTATTTATAATAGTTCATGATAAATGAACTTCAATTTCCCTGAATCTAACAAAATTGGTGTCAGAAATGGGATGGTTATCCTGTGCATCGCATCTCATAATTCAGCAATTTTATGTCAGGTCTCAAATAATTTTTGGTTATAAAAATCTTCATTTCAATACTTTCTCTATCCGGATTTGAAAATTAAACCGGTAACGCTTTTTCTTCCTGATTCGTTCTTCTTCATCTTTAATTAGTTGCGGTTTTCAATTCTTTTAACTTCGACCCAAACGCAATATGACATATGTCTGACACAGCTTTTTTGACCGGAATATATGAATATACATATATCATTCATATATCATTCATATATCATTCGCATATAAACCGCATCCCGTATGGGACATCTCAACCGCTTGACTGAAATTTTTTTTAATTGCCAATGTTTTCTAAGAAAAAAAATTCTTGAATCTAGACAAAGTTTTATAGAATCAAGAAAAAATTTTTCCTGTGTCTAGAAACTTCGTGGGATATAGAATCTTTCTTTTAATATTGAGAAACTTTCTCTGTCTAGTTGGAATTTTCCGTCCCTTTTCTCCGTACTAGACCTAGAAATATTCAGAAGAAATTCGTTCCGGTTTCTTCTGCACATGACGATTTATTATCACAGGCACATTCAATTGAGATCAAGGCAAAGCGACCGATTGGCGCAAATTAACATGTTTCAATTACAATTACGGAGGGTTTTAGAAAAGATCAACGGAAAGCTCTCAATGAAAGTCAATGAGAAGTCATCAATTGAGATTGATGAATGAGTTATTGAAGCCTTCGTAAAGAGACATGAGAAATAAATTTCGTGATTCTAGAGAATATCCGTTTATCATTCAAACCATCTATTCCAACAACAAACAACTTTTTCTCTTTATGCTTAACTATTTCGAAAACCACCTGCAGATAAAGATTGATAAACAGCACTTAATATAGGTCAATAAATATCATGTCATTAGGATTCATCGAAGTAAGTTCATTAAACAGTGCAATGAATCAAATTCCATAATAAAGGAGACGGGTTTCCTAAACGGAATACCTGAACTATATTAAAATGGATGTAAATCACTCGCATTATATTTTAAAGTTGATTCCCTCGGAAGTTGGAAAACTCACGTATTTTTCATTGTATGAAATGATATATCATTTCAATTAAATTCAAATTATCAATAGAACCATTAGAGTGGTTTGTATAAATATATTTATACAAACCACTCTAATGGTTCTATTTCAATGCTATTCGTATGTTCATGCATTCGAAATTCAGGAGAGTGACCCTCTTTGCCTAGCCTGCCAAGCATTTTTAAGATACCGCGCGGGCGTTCCTCATTATTTATTCTGAGCATATGCTTCCGCAATTATATTTGTTGATAATTCTCATTTCCGGGCTGTTATGAATCTACCCAATAGTACAAGCTGTGTGATAAGCTACTAGAGCGGAAGACTTTACATATGTGGTTTCAGTTTGGATATGGTTTGTTGAGAAAGAAAGAAAGTCCTCACTTGAATATAACAATACACAATAACAAGTGAAATTCAATTATTTTAGTGACTCACCATTGAACAATAGGTGTAATTTACAACAAAGGCATCATCAAGCCCATCTGTAAAGGTACATGAAACAATTTTTCCGAAACTTTTGCTAATTTTCCGTTGAAATTCTCATAGCAAATCCCAGCTTCATGTCTTTTATTTGCAAAGCTTTGGAACATTATGTTTTAGAAGAGCATCGTTAAATCTTTGATACCGAAGTAGTAATCTAACTTTACTAATCTCCTTGCGGGGAGGGATAAGAGCTGGAGTTCGAAACTCAAAAATGCGAAAATCTATAACTTAGTTGGTGAACTATTCGGAAGGTGGCGTAACGATCGCATCGAAGGGGAATACGGAATGGATTTCATATTGCTTACGGTGATATAATACTACGAGCCAATATCCTAGGATATATGGGATTATAACTAATTCAGCATTGTTTATTGATTTAATACCGCAGAGATAGAGATAGAGATTGGCGAGAGTTTGCCTTTACACTTCGCATGGTATCTCGTAATTTATTATAGATTTATGTACAGATTATGGTCAATTGCGTTATTCTTGAATATGTGGACATACAGCATTGCCAACGTGACACTTGCCAGTGTAATTGGATTATACTAATAAAATATAACCAATTATTTAAGATTTAATAATTTACCGTTTAAGAAGCCGTTTGGGTATGCATGAGGCAGATAGAAGTTAGGCTCCGACGGATGCGAACCCATAACTATTCTGATCATGCAGATTACATCGTTAAAGTAATAATTTATTAGCTGTGATGATTCAATTATCGGCCTTTTTCGACAATTTTCACATTTATTTACAAAAAAAAAGGAATACAGATCTAATCTTGAAAATAATTGCCCTCACCTCACCCAATAAACTGACGCTGAGATTTATCTCTTTGAGTCTAGAACCTACACTGAGAGAAAAAAGCGTCATCTGAACACGTACGTTTTTGATTAAAATTTATAACGAATTTGTTTTCATCAGGAGCCAATGTGATGCCAATTCATGGCATCCATGTTTTTGAAAAATTCTATTCGCAATCGAATATACACTTTAATCATTTTCCTGCGTACTTTAACCCAGTAGATACCGGATTGAATCACGCTAGGGTAACAAAACAATACGAAAACTATTGAAAGCTAAGAAAAATAATAGAAGCTATTGGTTTGAGTCATTTTGGAATTGATTCAAAGAGGATTGACTTGTTCGAGAAGCCTGTTCTGTCAATCGGCTTTTTTTAAAGAATTTGTTCTGCTGATTATTTTAATAGAATCGACCAAACACTAATTGAAAGTCAGTACTGAAAGGAAACCCAAGACAGTCGTCAGAAAACTTAATGGGTTTCCCATGGAGTTTTCATTTACATAGAATTATCAATTAAGTTTGCAAGCAATACATACTTCCGTCACATTCACAATTAATCAATGGTTCACCAAGAGTTGAGGGCACAACCTGTCTATCAATGAGTTGCAACAGGCACAAAATGACCTTCTAAAATTCTTCTCAACTCCAAATGTGACACTATCTTCAACACATTTCGGGATATTGCCTAATGCTGAAGTTTGGACTTTTGCCAAAATGGACTTGAACTGTTTAACCTTTTCCGCATCGTATCACCAAATTCTCATCACAAACCAAAGGAATTGGTGCGGGAACACCTCCACCGAACAGATCCGCTCATCATTTACACATTCCATAGAGGCAAACAGACGAAGAAGCTTCGGTGGAGAGTTCCTTCATGCAGTCATTGGTGATCGGCAACGGTCAGCGTTACAATTCAAAGTCGAGCCATTTTCGTTAGTAAAAAAAAACAGAACAAGAATCAAGCAAAAGCCAATGCTATGAAGGAACATATGTTGGGGTTAATGACAACATAATACCATCGCGTCCAGATTCTCCCTTTTGCCCGGGCAACCCGGTAGGCCCTATCGATCCTGGCTCTCCGTGCAGTCCTGTCAAGCCCCTCAATCCAGGCAGTCCCGCCTCGCCTACATCACCTTTTGCTCCAGGTGCTCCAGGAAGCCCTGGAAATCCATTCTCTCCACGTTGACCTGGAGCAAATTTAGACATTCTATCAGCAAAGGGTTAATATCAATTTATCGACTGACGATTTCAAGCAGTTGGTTGTCATCAGCTGCTCGAAACTATCTCAGCCATTGATTCCTAATCATCGGTTTTATATGATTCCTATCTCCTGTGCAATAAAACTGTCTACACGAATTGCGGAGAATTGATTTACAGGCATTCATCGATTCAACGAGTGCTAAGAATTTAGGTCAGTATATCATAATCAAATAAGCAATTCCATCGATGGAAATTGTAATTCAAGGACAGTTGATGGAGTTAGATTGAATAATGACTTCGGACAATTACAACTGACCTTTCTGCCCGGGTTGGCCTTTCTCCCCGAAGCTCTTACCATCGACGAACATCGGACCGGGCATTCCAGGTGGTCCCTAACAGCAAAAAAAAACACTTTGCTACCAGTTCCGTTTTCTCTATTTCACAAGAACACATTAAATATCTCACTCGCACTCCCATGGGTCCCCGTACACCATCAGCTCCAGGAATTCCTGGGAATCCTCGTGGTCCAGCATCTCCACTGTCGCCTCTCTCCCCTGTATTCCCAGTTTCACCCTGACTTGAACAAAAAACAGGCATAAAGGAACTAGCAACGGCTTGCCACTTTTGTCATGCAAATCATCAAGAAATTCGGAGTTGCCCACTTTCTCGCCTTTCAGACCGTTCAGTCCAATGAGACCTGGTGCTCCAGGATATCCTGGGAATCCTCGGGGTCCCTAAAAAATTAAGATGGCATTCATCATTCACATTCTTCGCGACTGTTCAGCCACTTCCGAGAGTCGTCCGAATATCTTAAATGGTGTACAAGGTGGGAGGGTCTGCATCGAAAAAAAGTTCTTAATCAAGCCAAAATCTGAATCAAGTCGGAGTGAATTACATTGAGAATTGATTTATTGATTTATTTAGTTGATTAATAATTTTTTTTCGATTGATAGGCATCAATCAAGTCCGACTGCGGGAAACATAAACCGGTACATTAGCTGAAAACAGTTGTTCGATCTGATTTAACTCGATTCTTTGATTCAAACCAAATTCATTTTTGATTTAAGGCCCGGGTGGACTACCTATAGAACGTCATCTTTTGTTTAAATTTTATCTTTCTAGCCTAAAATACATAAAAATTTGGGATAAGTTTTGAGGTCACGAAAATCACTGGA